GTCATGACAAAAATCTCTGACTGAAGAGGGACATTATAAGAAATAAAAACATAGCCATTGAATCAAATTCTCCATATCATTTTTCTGGGACACCCCTGCAACAGTACTTGTTTGTGAAGGGATGCATCTTTTCATTTTTTAATTTTTAATACAAGGTAAAATATATGATGATCATAAGTATAACTTGTTAAATATGAAAATATACTTTTTATAAAACATTAATCAAAGAAAATAAAGACATATACTTTGAGATCTGGATTTAATGTACAGATAAGCTAATATTAATGAATACATTAATGTAATTGAACTTTAATTTAATATCAAATTACATCATTGCTTTTATTTGATATGTCTAAAACACATATATACTCACCATTTAATATTTATGGATACACAAGCCGGTTTACTAACATGATTTTAACCTATTTATTTACTTATTACTATTAATTAATTATTCACTTCCCATTTCGTACAACAAGAAAACTTCCCACTTAACATGGCTAAAGCTGATCCTTACTGGTTCTGAACTGAAATATCAATGCCAACTACGTGTCTTAGAAGCTACAGAAATATTTGGGCTAATTAAACAAAATTAACAAATGCAAAGGGATTTAGAACTGGTGGAATACTGTTCCTAGAGCTCAGTTCGGAAGGAATAGACATACAAACATAGAGTGCAAAACCTTGTTTGTTATCATCAAACAAATCATAGTAATTTGTTTTCTTTACATGGGGTATGTAACTATTGGGGTTTAAATAAATTGTTCCTAAGATTTATCTTAACAAAGATGATATATATATATATATATATATATATATATATAGTGAATGTAGCATTGGTTTTAATATAGGAAGTTGGTTTGCTACTAGTAATTAGATTTATTAGTAATCTTCCCTAGGATTGAGCAATCTTCTACCAAATCAATTAGTTTCGGCTCAAAATGAGTCTTCAAGTTCCTATCGCATCACCTATTTGTGAAAAAACAAGAGAGAAGACCCAAACACATTATATACCATGTGTACAAGGTAATTAAACCCACTTTTATAGATAAGTCTTATATATTAAAAATTTTGCAAAAGTAGCTTATGTGCACTGTATGTAGAATTGACATGTGGCCAACTCACTCATTGGGTTCTCTACTTCTCTATCTGATGGTCTTGGAATTAGGGGTGTAATGGACTGGTTTTGGGTTGGACCCAATCTAAATCAAAACCAATTTGGACGGACCAATAAGACATATTGAATTGGACGGGTCCAAACTCTAAAGTATTTATTGGATTGGACTATACTAATCAATGTCTATTGCATTGATAGAAGATAAGAATACAAGTATTAATAAACCGAATTTGAGTTAGAACCAATCTAAATTAAAACTAATTTGAATAAATTAATCAGTTCAGACATTGAACTGGACCAGTCCAAAATGGTCTGATCCAATTGACACCTATTTGAAACAAGTAGGGGTGTTATTCTGTTTTGCTAAGCAAAATGCTACATTAGATTGCTATATTGTTAATTAAAAACCACGCAAAGGGACGTGCTTATATTTCACAGTTAACATCGAAAGCAAGTGCGAGTGGAACAACAATAAAAGAAAAAAAAAAATTAAAAGTTGTGATCACGTAAAGTGAATATACCGCGATCAACCCTTTAAGCCTATCGTACCGACAAGCTTGCGGTATATAGGCCCAAGTAAATAACATCATCTGTAAATGTAAATGTAAACGAAGGTGGTAAGGATCGATCCGGCCGTATTATAATCAAATCAACTGTTGGGGATGGCTCTAGGCTCTAGCGACTGTAGATGGGGTGCGTGTATATGATCTGGGTGTTATTCCTGCTACACAGTAAAGCCATATCAATGAGAGAAAGAAAGATGAAATTGTATATATCCAAAGGTGACAGGCGTGAATAATAATATGCAATTGAAAAGAGAAGAGAAGGGAATTAAAGAGAGAATGGAGGTGAAAATAATAGATGGATGCATGAAATTAGCTAGGTGTGTGATTGGACAACTGGTGATGATGGAAGATGGGGTTGTGAAAGGGGTACCGTTCTCATAGGCAGCTTTTTGGGTTGACAGGACGGTGAGAGTGCTGTGAGGGAATCTGGTTTGATACTCTACTAACACCAAAATTTTTTCATCTTTGCCATCATAAAAATTACCTTCTGGCTCCTTCCCCTCCTCTTGTCGTTTCCCAAATTCTTTTCTTTAAACTTTTTGACATGGGATTAGATCCCCAGCAACTACACTTCAATTTGGGGACAAACCCTTTTAACTTACTCCTCCGTGTAAATTTAACATTATTTTGTTTATTTTTTGTTTGGGATGGGGTGGTTATTAGAGGACATTCCTACAATCTGCAGATTTACTTCCCCATTGTTAAAAGAGCTGGTAAGTACAAAGAGCTTCATTCTTGCAAGCCCAGTTTGTGGGAACACAGGACCAGCAACAGTACTATTTTAAGGGTTTACAGCCATAAATTTAGATGCTTGGGCATAAACAATCTCTAAAACGGAATTCTATTAACTGTGAGCATCATAATATAATAGTAAGGATTATAGGTTTTTTCATTAGGCTGCATTTGTTTTAGGTGTAAATTCAGTTTTACACCGATGGGAAATATGAACCGATTTAGTTGTCGATAAAAATTAGGACCAATAGATTTTAAAAATTTACACAGACCATGTTTGGTTGTCAAGGTGTAAATTTGGTGAGATTGTGCAGAGGAGGAGAAGACGTATGGGTATCTCACTGGTGGAATCATCAAGTTGGATGATCTCGACTTGGTTGGGGTACTACTCGAGGAGGCTAGCGGTGGTGAGTCGGTACTTCTTATTGCGGCAAACACTCCAATTCATGGCGTAGATGCGCCAGGGGGCCTCATAGGTGTAGATTTCCAAGCGCTTTTGCTACTCCTCTGACCCGTCCTGGGTTGGATTGCTAGTCGTCCCCATCGAACTCGATCCTCCTCTCCGTCTCCGACTCTCTGTTGTGGATAAGACTTTTACAGAGAAGGAAAGGATTGGAGTATTAAAAAGAAAAGAAAGAAATGCAAGAAAAACCTAAACAAAGTCACTCGCAACGGAGCCAGCCGCAGTCGGAGGGGCCGACTGGACTAGCGCTTTTTCTTCCTTTTGGGTCCTCTCCGGCTCTCCCTTCGGAGGTGGGTTCAGATCTGCCACTACAACTGGTTGCAGCGGTGGTGACGAAACAAAGAAAGAAAAAAAGGGAAAAGAAGAAGAAGAAGAAGAAGAAGAAGAGAGAGAGAGAGAGAGAGAGAGAGAGAGAGAGAGAGAGATAGAGAGAGAGAGAGAGAGGAAGAAAGAGATGTTAATTTTATATCGATAATTTCAATGTATATATTATATCGATTATTGGTGTAAAGAAAATTCAAAATGAAAATTTACACCGATTTTCAGTATAAAATTACATGTTTACCAAACGCATATGAAATTGAACTGGGGTGTAAAGTTTACCCCGGTTCGATTTTCCCCCCCAAACAAATGTGGCCTTAGTTGTATACTCAAATATAAAATGTTTACAAATTTACATTGCATTCATTGTATCGATATCTTTTGAAGGTCAATACATTTATTTTAAAGGGTTTTAAAAAGTCTTTTATTTAATAATAAAATAATATAAAAGTGAGCCTTTCTCTAAAAATTTGAAGAAAAAAATTAAAAAAAAATGAAACAAAAATAAAAAGTTCACTTTTCAAAGTATCACCGACATACCATATGGTGTATTGATATTTTGAACCTTGGTTTTATCTTGTTAATTATATTGTTTGAGTTCTTTAGTTAGCTTGAGTTTACCCTAATTGCTTCCTCTATAATTATACTTGAAACACAACAGTGTTGCAAAATACAAAATGTTGAGCATACAAATCTTTTTCATCTTTAAGCCTTACAAATCCATCTTTTACCATATAGATAAAAACAAATTGTATGCTTGGTATAGGATTTTTTTCCCTTCTTTTTTTGGTATTTGGTGATACACCCACCCCGCCTTCCAAAGCCAGTGGTAGCGGGAATGGGATCCATGTCTCTATTGGAACAAACTAGTTAACGTACCAATTGAGCCACCCCTCAGTTGGCTTGTCCTAATGTTGTGTTTGGTTTGAAGGAAAAAGTAGGGAAAGGAAGGAAAATGTAAGGAAATCTATACAAGCTTTGTAAAGACTTCCTTACTTTTCCCTACCTTTTCCTTCAAACCAAACATAGTCTAAGAGTTGATGCAAATCACTTAATTACTAGCCAAATCCAATATGATTTTGATTACATTAATATAAAGATTTTGGTTGAACACTAAGCTATGCTGTTTAATACTTTGATGAACTGTCCTTATCAGTCATTGGTGCACAGGACAAGACTTTAGCAAATAATTTGTATTATATCAATTTAATCTCTCACAAGATCTCTCGCAAGTCCTTTGAGGGTCCTATTTGTCTTGTGCTTGTACTATTAGGTCAGACAAGTATTTGTACCCAATTTTTTTACCATTAATGCCCAAATATACAATTCAAAAGCCTATACTTTCAGAGTGTAACATTCTTCTTCTTTAGTTTTTTTTTTTAATTTCCTTTTCTTTTTTCAGATAATGGTATTAATTCTGGAATATTAAAATCATGCATTCTGATATTTTAACAAATAAAAGACAATAGAACAGTGGCTTCCCTAAAGTAACTAATTAAATAAAGACACTACATAGTAGAAATTAGGGTTTTGGGTAATAATTAAATGATTATTATATGCTTGCATCGATAATTAATAATTCAAATATTCAGGGTGAGGAATATGCAAAGGAAGTGATAGGCTTTCTATTAGGCGAGGGATTGGAGGGAGGGTACAGATACAAGCTAGAAAGAAGGAATACGAATAAGTACCTTTCGTGTAATTTTTATATTCTTTTTAATGTCCTCTCATTCAACCTCCTTCTTAGCTATATAAGGCCACTCTTCCAGTCGCAGATCCATGAGGTTGCTTTCCTGCCTGCTCTACTAATAGTAGCTCCATTCTCCATCCTTTCTCAGGTTTCTTGGTGAGATTGGTTATCTATGTCCAGTCCTCTGTCTTCATCTCTGTCTCTCTCTCATGTAATCATTCCTTACTTTACTTTTGTCGTTCAGAGGATTTGGTTCATTATCTTCAAAGCTCACAGAACTCCTCCAATCATACTCAACCATGATTTAAATGGGTGATTTGTCCAATATATTGTAGATAAGTTGGCTAGTTATGCATGTGCAATAATACTGGAATGCAATCTGGGAAGAGAGCTTCCTTCAGTCCACTCATGGGGAGTGGTAAGATTTAATTAACTGCCGACTCATTCACCCAAATACCAAGTAAAAGAAGGGAGCCATCGCTTGGTAGATGAGCGAATGATGCGGGAGATAAGTTGGATCTTATGCTTCCCGTCCTTGGACTGAAGGGAGCTCCCTTTACCGTCATGCTATCCCAATTTCTTGTGTTTGGAATTCCATCTGCTATCATTTTCTTTTTCGTTTTTCTTTTGCTATATATATATGCTTAGATTAGATCTGTCTGCGCCTGGTATCATTTTCCATAGAAAATTATCTTGTTCATGTATATGATCTTGTGTTTAGTTAGTTTTAGTTGTTACTTTTTTTGTTTTTTTGTTTTTTGTAATTATCAGTTCTATTATTGAGTTGGCCATATGGGTTTCAATTGAAACTGCTTATCACCAGCTTCAGGCCCGGTTAGCTTTGTTGCTCGTTTACTTGAAACAGGTATTTTGTTTATCAAATTGCCAACAGTTTGCATGCATTCAGATCCGTGCTTCCATTCTTGTGTTGAAGATTTGCTTTCAGCTTTCTGTTTTCTCTTTTCGCCTCCCCCCTCCTCCTCCCTCTTCCCCCCCATTTTTTTTTCTTTCTAAAACTGCTATATATCATACTATTTAATCTTATATTTGTTTGGCAAATTCTGGGTGTTTGTGGAATTAGGTTTATTTTCTGTATTTGGTGTTTGAATAATAAACTTTCTCGTTTGTGTTGTGACTGAACTGATTCTGTCGAGGATTACAAAACCCATTTCAGCGAGTTTGGGGTTTGTAATATATCTGCGACCATTACACCAGATACACTGAGATTTGGTTCTCTTCAACAAATTTCTGAATACCTAGCTGCCATGAAGAAGGCTGCAGGGATCGAAATGGTAGTTTTTTCTTGCATCTTCAACAACTATCTTTGAACCAGATAGGATTTTTTAGGAGTTTGGCCTAACCTTTGTTCTTGGGTAGGCAGATTCAAACGCGCTTCATCAAGTTAGAACAGAAGAGCTCGGAATGGTTGTTAATATTGTTTGTTGCTTCTGTCTGCTTGTGTAATCGCTTCAGTTTCACCGGCTCACGGCCGCATTGGCGAATGGCGATCGAGGAGCAACTGTTGTGCGAGAAACCTTACACCACACGTTCTACGACGATAACTTCTTGGGGCGTGCAGCGTGCGCTCTTGTACTGCAACAAGTCCCTAGATATGTTTCTCCCTATGCCGCAACGCAATTGCCAAAAAAATAAAAATAAAAACTCTTCTGATCTACAGAACACTGCACGTTGAAGCTACTTTTCCTACATTTTGTTTTCCACTTTCTGATTTTTCGACGCATAATGTATAAAAAAGTTTCTCTTGTAGGTTTTGAATCACGCGTTTCAAAAAAGTTCTTCAGCCTCGGTGTTTTTCCATTTCCCTACTGTTTTTCTTCCTCTCTTTTATTTTACTTTTTAGTATTTATCCATGATGTAAAATAAAGAATCGCCTTTTTGGTAAGACGCTGCTGTAAATAAAGAGTCCCGCTCACCCAGAAAAAAGTTGGCTATATACCTCGTGTTTCTTTCCATGGTGAAGGTTCAAGCTAGGGTTTGTGGAATCATAACCAGAACAAAGAAGCTCAGCGACGTATCTTCTATCTCATCAGCTACTACTACGTGTTTCTGTAGGAGTAAGATTCCCACTGTCGTCTTTGGTGGAATTATTTTACGACATTTCTCCTGTCCATTAACGTGACTGGAGTGAAAGAATAGAAGACCAAATTTATATTTAATTATTACATTTCTTTCTCTGTGTAGTGAATTGTCCTGCAACAGAAAAAAAAAATTCCTTCTCATGGCAGTGTTTCACAGATTGAAATCATGAATTTATTGCTGTTCTTGTTAAAGTAGTGATGGGTTTTTAATTAATTTTATCAATTTTGGTAGTGAAATAGTGAATCCGACACTACCTTAATTATGAATCCCAGATTCCAACTGATTAAATTTCGATGTTTTGTATTAATTAGCGGGGCGAAATCTCTTAACATTATTCTTGTAGCCTCTTTTTTATTTAAAGAAAATTTCATCTCACCATCAAAACAAAAGTAATGTGAGGAAATGGTTTTGCACTTGGTTCTTTTTACAATGCGAATTCCCATTCCCATTAGAGAAATGGTTCCCTCTCCACCATCGATCTCTCATACTTACTATTTACCACAGCAAATATTTCATATTTCATATACGATCGAGATGGCTTTTTCTTCTTTTGTGATTGGTTTCTCTAGCTAGCTAGTGTAAGCATGGTGGTATTACAGAGACTAAATAAGGTTATGAGCTTTTGTCGGACTGCTTTCCTCTTTTCTGAAAGTTTAAGCCCAACTTCCTCTTTCTGGTGGTACTAGTTAATTGATGCACATCTTTATGGAACACAGGCGCCATTGTTTTTTTCTCGTTAGTGGTTCAGGTAGATGTAAATGTATGCATAGTTGATGAAATGGGGCCTTCGTCTTGTCGTTGCCACGACTGGTTCAAGAATGGGATGCCCACATTTGTGGATTTTAAACCATTTTTTTTTTCTTTAAGTTTTGAGATTGTTCTTGTGTAGAAAACAACTTCCATCATGTTCCTTTATTCCATGGGCCTTAGATGTTCTAATGATCAACTCAACAAGTATTTAGTGTATATGATTAAGACTAATTTGTTGATTACATTTTCAATTTCCACACACGCGCTTTTGTTCGCTCCTACCATCGTAAGATAAAGCGACCACCTCTTGATTTTTATATTCTACAGTTCTACACCCTAAATCTTAAACCCTGATCCTAAATCCTTGAATTCTAAAATTTAACTATAAAGTGGATTTCATCGTATCCAAGGTTTAAAATATCGATATGTATTGGTCCATATCGGCCGATACATATTGTATTGGAAACTTCCCGATATGCCCCTACAGAGGGTGTATAGGGGTTTTGATTGATTTACGGGGTGGAAGGACCTTAAACCGAC